GGTGATGCTCATGCACAGCGAGGTGAAGATATATTGCCCTGGCACGCGCACAGTTATTTGACAGTTCCGAGCATGGACGGGCACAGAAAACTCCTCTTCCCAGTGAGACTGCGCTCAGCCCAACTGGTCCTTCCTCTCTCCCTCCATTCCTCGCACTGCTGTCTTCTCTCTAGTGTCTACTACGGGCTGGGCCAGGCCCTGTGGTGGGTGCAAGAAACTAAAGATTAAGAGATGGGCCTTGACTTCAAGGGGCAAATACTCAATCTCTCTGAGGACAGACATCTGAACAAATAAATACAAAACACTGATTGAGCTATAATAAAGGTAGGTGTAAAGCATTCAAGGAGCAGCACAGAAAAAAATAATACATTCACGGGGGGGATAGGCGGTACTCCAAGATCAAGGTCAGAAAAGTCTTCAATGAAGAAGTGACACTGAGATGGGCCTTGAAGGAAGAGCAAGAATTTGTTGAATTCAGAAAGAAGAAAAAAAGCATTTAAAGGTATGACCAGAGAGAGTCACACAAATTTGAAATAGATTTGGATATAAGTCTGGCTTCACCTCCACCTAGTCATTGTTATGGTAGAGTTATCATAATTATGGTGATACATATTGGTTTTGACTCTACTCTGAGACCTGCAGAATGGATTAATTCTGCCAAAACTTTTCTCAGCTGCCCTAAAGACTGGTTGAGATGGGAAATGGAGTGGTGGTGTTATTCCGAACACATGGCTGCTCTTACTATTCTGTTAATGTGGGGTGGGCAGTGAAAGACCAGGGGCGCCCATGAAAACTAGCTCCCAGGTAGGCTGCAGGTAAACCACAGTCCGCAGACTAGGTATCCACTGACCCTCTGTTCTCCCAGGGCAAAACGCATTGTGTGGATTCAATAGCTATCAAGTAACACCTGACACCCTGCCCCTGACCACTTGTTCACCACAGGCATGGTTTAGCTGAGTGTTTTGACCTTTTAAAAATAATACTTGTAAGATGGATATCTGAAAGTGAACTAGGAACAATGAATGGTACACATTCAAACACTGGACTCCCACAGTGCCTGCCGTGGTGGGAAAAAAACACACACACAGACATTAAACAGGAAGTCAGGAAACCTCCGTTTTGGTTCCAGTTTTGGTGGGTTCCAGCCAGCTGGGTGACTTTGGGCACAACTTCTGCCTTTCTG